TGATGATGATATGATGATGATGAAGATGATGATGACGCACCAATGAAGATGCTCATAATGATGATGATGATGATGATATGTCAGTAATGCTGACGATGATGATGAAGATGATGATGATGATGATGATGATGATGATGATGATGATGATGATGATGATATGATGATGATGAAGATGATGATGACGCACCAATGAAGATGGTCATAATGATGATGGTGATGTCAGTAATGCTGCTACTGCTGCTGCTGCTGATGATTACCGTCGTTATCCCCACATTATGAAAAATGTCGATGATGATGATGATGATGATGATTACCGCCGTTGGCAACGCAGTAGGAGTGAAGGCCGATGACAAATCCACCAGGACACTGAAACTGAAAGCTGGCCAGAATCGAAGAGAACGTCCCACCCCATGAAGCAAAGTATCCTCAGTCACACTGAGGTTTCCAACGCCTGAAGGTTCGCGCCACGAAGCAGAAGCACCAACCCCCCTTCTCTACCTGCGCCAGCCTGTGAGGCCAGGAGATCCGCACGAAACAGAACAGAAGACCATCGCCTCTCCCTCCTCTCTGTCAACTAGAGGCGCCACCATCCCCGTTGTAGAGTAGCAGCGCTCAACGTCCGTGTCTCTGTGATGTCACCTCCCTCATTTTCCGCAGCCGCGCCCTAGCGCTGCTCCACCCGGCATCGCACCGCCCACTAGCAGCATTCCACCTGGCAGCGCACCGCCCGCTAGCGGCACTCCACCTGGCAGCGCACCGCCCGCTAACAGCGCTCCACCTGGCACACACATGTTCTGCTTCAAAGTTTGTAAGAAAATTGTAAAACAAATATTGTTCTGCCAGTTTGGCAGTTTTTTTTCTTTTATATATTTTATTCCTTCCTCTCCTCTTCCTTTTTTTTTCTTTTTTATTTTTCATCTCGGTTCATGCGTGTCATCCTTAATTGTGCATGGGCCCTGCTAATCTTCTCGGTATCTTTCCAAATTCCAATTTTAACGGATGTCCGATCTGCCAAAACTTCTCAAGCGTTTCAAAAATTTCTCACTACTTATTTGGAGGTTACTTTCAATATCTGATAACCTTTCCCCTGTCTGCCCTCCCCCCCATGTTTGAAAATTTCTTGTTGACTCCAATGGAAGCTTCCTGTGACATTTTGTTGCCGACAGATCGCCTTGTCGGCACATATCTCTTCTCTTGCCAAATCCGATCCCCTCCTCGCTTCTCTCCCCCCTTCCATCCTCTCCTTCCCCGCCCCGCCCACTTCCCCCCCATCCCCATGCCTCCCTTTCTGGAATGGATGCAGACCTATTTCAATTTTCTTAATTAAAAAAAGATGGACTCTCAACCATCAGCTGATTTTCTGTTTGCATGTTGTCTTTTCGTCCTCGTCTTTCTTCTTCTTCTTTTTTTTTTTTTTTTTTTTTTTTTTTTTC